TAGTGTGCATCACAGAACTACTACTACTACTACCACTACTGCTTCTACTGCTTCTACTACTACTACTACTACTGCTACAATTACTACTGTTATTACTACTACAGGCTGATTAGTAAAGAGGGGAGGGCTGTCAGCAGAGGTAAACACGCCACAGATCAGAATAGTGGCTCAGTGGTTTGCAACAAGGAACTACTACTACTACTACTACTACTACTACTACTAAGGAATACTGCTACTACTACTACTGTTATTAGTACTACAAGCTGATTAGTAAAGAAGGAGGGCTTTCAGTGGCAGTAAACATGCCAGAGATCAGAATGGTGGTTCAGTAGTGTGCATCAAGGAACTACTACTACTACTACTACAAATACTACTATAAATACTACTACTGCTACTGCTACGATTACTACAACAACTACTGTTATTAGTGCTGTTATTAGAAGGGGGGCTGTCAGCGGTGATAAACACGCCACAGATCAGAATGGTGTTTCAGCAGTGTGCATCAAGGAACTACTACTACTACGAATACTACTACGAATACTACTACGAATACTACTACGAATACTACAACTACATTACTACTGTTATTACAACTACAGACTGATTAGTAAAGAAGGGGGGCTGTCAGTATGCTGTCAGCGTACTACTACGATTACTATGACCACTATTACTACTACTACGATTACTATACTACTATTACTACTACTACGATTACTACTACTACAATTACTACTGTTATGTTATTAGTACTACAGGCTGATTAGTAAAGAAGAGGGGCTTTCAGAGGTGGTACACACTGCAGTTCTCATAATGGTCTCTCAGTAGTGAAACAGAAGAGTGTGTATCAAGGAACTACTACTACTGCTGCTACTACTACTACTACTACTGCTACTATTACTGCTACTACTATGACTACTACAGCTACTACAGTTACTACTGTTATTACTATTACTACGACTACTATGACTGATTAGAAAAGAGGGGGGGGGGGTTTCAGCGGAGGTGGTGGCTCAGCAGTGTGCATCAAAGAACTACTACTATGACTACTGCTACTACTACTGCTCCTACCAATACTACTACTACTATGACTAGTGATTAGATGATAGTGATACGATTATTGCTACTTCTATGACTACTATAATTTCTACTGTTATTACTACTACAGACTGATTAGTAAAGAAGGGAGGGCATTGTGCATCAATGAACTACTACTACGACTACTATGACTACTACTGTTATGAGTACTACAGGCTGATTAGTAAAGAAGAGGGACTTTCAGAGGCAGTTCTCATAATGGTCTCTCAGTAGTGAAACAGAAGAGTGTATATCAAGGAACTACTACTACTACTACTACTACTACTACTGCTAAACTGGTACTAAGTCGTGGGCCAAACTAAATATTTATTGAAAAATTTCAACAACATCTGCATGCTTTTTCTTCTATCGAGATATTTAAATGATGTTAAACCTTTTCTCATTAAAATAAATGTTTAATAATAGTTTTGCTTAAACATTGAATCCAGGACAAGCATAATATAAAATAACTAGAAAAGCACTCAGAGAACTACCCCCATTTTTTATATAAATTGCGATAAAATCAGTCTTCTGGATCAGATCCGGATCAGCCTTTGGAATATGAAAGAGGATCCCATTGTCCATCCCTGAGTCAAATTTCATGGGGTTTGGTCAATAATTAACCGAGATATTGAGAAACAAAATTTTTGGCCCCATTTTACCACAATGTTAACTAAAATTTCAAAGTGATCCAGAATCCAGGATTTCTTCCGGATCACCCCCAAAATGAAATCAGTTCTTCCGTTTCACATTTCCAACAAATCCTGAAAATTTCATCAAAATCGGTCCATAACTTTTTGAGTTATGTTGCTAACAGACAAACAAACAAACAAACAGACAAACGCCGGCAAAAACATAACCTCCTTGGTGGAGGTAATAACATTTTAAATAAATAATGTTTCTATAGTCTATCTGTAGCCAGCGGGGAGCTTTAATATATATTTGATATGATCTCGTGGACCAAATATATTTATATCGTGGGCTAAATTTGGTGGAGTTTGACATGTCTGCTGTAGACATTCAGTCATTTAGTCAATTAATAGATCAATGGTGTCTTAGTCAACCAAAAATGACATCTTAGTTAATTCATTATTGGAAATTAAAGGAATTTATGAGTGAAGTTTTTTTTATAATGACTGCAAAAGGAGAAGGAACAGCATGGGTTAGTCAGAGTCTTGATCGTAAATTTTCACATTAACTCTTCGTCTTACTATCTGGTGAGTCATATTTTGGTCCGATAAGTGTTCAGATCATAGAGATAGTTTTGTGAGATTTCCCCGCTTCATAGCACTCCCTCTAAGAGCTGACTAATGGATGCACGGCCCTCTCGCGTCTCTTCTTCTTCACTGATTCTTCTAAGCCCGCTCCCTTCGGCTGTGGTTTCTCGGGGGGCATATAAGGACAGCGGGAAATTCGTTCATCCATTCATGCGCGTCACTAATTAGATGACGAGGCATTTGGCCGCCTTAAAGAAGACCTATTGTGCTTGTGTTTGCTCTATAGCTATAATCTATGACACCCGTGGATCATTATGTTAGAATTTGCACCTTTTAAATCATAATATCAATCTAAAACGACTTAATAAGAGAACCAAGACTGCTGACTTCCGTGTTAAAAAACAGCAGATTGGAGCTGACGCCGCTGTAAACGCGTATCACCAATTAAGAAAACAAAATTGGAGAGCAAAGTAAGTAGAGAGCAGTGGGCGTGTGCTGGTGGCAATATGGCGTCTTGAAAATATCGTATTTTTCGAAGTATAAGGCTACGTTCAGACTGCAGGACTTAACACTCAATTCCGATTTTGTTGTGAAATCCGATGTTTATGCGAGGTCGTTCACATTTCCAATTAAATGTGACTTGTATGTGACTCCAGTGTGAACATTAAACAGCCCAAAAGTGTCCCACATGTGCACTGGAGGACACGATGATGTCAACCGCAGCGAGCGTCTCTGTGTTTACGGAAGTTGTCCAAACATGGACGCGAGCATTGAGCACCTGGAGATTTTAAAGTTCCTCTCGTACCGGAGCCAGAACATGAACAACTTACTTGTTTTAAGGAGGAGATTGAGAAGGAGAAGGACGAGGTTTTTGGCCGTGGTGTTTTGTGGGACAGCGGCAGCAAGGTCTGTTGAAAGGAACGTGTGGATGTGGAGACGTAGCCAAGAGTGGTGAGTGGTGATGCGCTTCGCTTCAGTGACACGGAGTTCATTAACAATTTTCGCCGACTTCAGTGCAGAATAGTGACTTTTGTAGCTTGTTGATAACGTGTAGGTCGGATGAATGCGCTTTGGCTGTTCGGACTGAAGTCGTATGTCAAAAGATCAGATATGTATCGGTTTTAGGAGCACATATCGACGTGTCCTGGGTCGCATTTGAAAAAATCGGATCGGTGTTGTTCAGACTGTCATTAAAAGATCAGATACAGGTCACATAGGGGCCAAAAAATCGTATTTGTTTCACTTCAGGCTGCAGTCTGAACGCAGCCTAAGTCACACTTTTTTCATGGTTTGGGTGGTTCCTGCGACTTATACTTTGGTGCAACTTAAATATTAAAATTTTCACACTGACAGTCATTAGAGGCTCTAGTCTTGTGTGTCAGTATCTGCTCCTCCTCCTACTCCTGCACCACTCTCACGTCTCTCTACTGCGCATGTCTCCTGCAGAAAAAGCCTCTGTCCTGTCTGTATCATGTCAGTCGACCGCAACATTACTTCTGTACCAATTTAAACAAACTTATAAAGCCTTTAAACAGAAAGTTACCCCCAATGGAAAATGTAAAACTCCAACGCGCTTTGACCAGCAAGATGGTCTTCGACAGGGCAAAGTGGTGACATTTTCCAGTAAGGGTAACTTTCTGTTTAAAGATTACTGTTTTAACCCTCATAGAGCACCTGTACTGCTGTTTTTTACTCTTTTAAGACCCAGTGAAACGCTCTACCTCTTTTTCTTCCTCAAATTTATAAAGCCACCTGAGAAGACTGAACACAAATGCCCCCAAAAAGAAAATCATATTTTACAGTTTACAAGCTGCAAGTCGTGAAATCTGCAGCTGAAAAATGTAATCGAGCAGCAGAAAGAAAGTGTGGAGTGAGTGAGAAACTTGTGACACCGGGAGGAAGTCATTGGATGAATCGACAAAACCTGGACTTCAGTGACACCGAAACCATCCTGTCACGATTCAGAAAGGCCGGAATAATTCTAACTGGAACTGATGCTGAGTCTGACGACAGCGACATGGAAGAGGAAACAACGCTCTGTTTACCTCTGGAGGTCACAGAGTTGCTCAGAAGTGACACCGAGGACGAAGAATTGAATGGATTTAGTGATTTGGAGTGAGATGGAGAGTTTGGTAAACTTGTTCTGTTCTGTTGTTTATGTTATAGTTTATCTGAAGAACTGTTCATATGTGACGTTAACAGTCTGTTGTTCTCTGTTCTATTGTTATTACTAGAACTTGACTTTCAAGATGAAATGTCGGTTCCTGGTTTCTGATTTTATAAAATTAATTTCCCCCAAGAAAGTGCAACTTATATATGTTTTTTTCTTCTTCATTAAGCATTTTTTGGCTGGTGCAACTTATACTCCAAAACAAACAACAAGTCCGAAAAATACGGTACACGACTAAAGATTGCTGAAACATGCACAAATCACTCCAAATGCAACTTCGAGAGTGTGAATAAGAAGCGAAAACAACTATAAAATGGTTAAAAGCTCTGAAAAGACTAGGTCTGCTTTAAGAAACCCAGAGTTACTCCACCCGTTTAGCCACACTTCATTGAATTTCTTCACTTCGACATCCAGAGCACTGTGCAGAAATCACATTACGCCTTTAGCTGACCTAGATTTTTTTTTTTTTAAACAACTACCAGTGCAAAATAAAATGGAGTCCCTGATTTTAACCTTTGAATTTCATGTTGATTTCATACCTGCACACTGCTGTTGCCTACAGTAGTGGCTCTCTTGACACGACGCGTCAGCCCCATCGCTTCTCCCAGTAACGTAGCAACGCGTCTCTCCATGTTGGCTTGGAAGGTCTTTTCATTAACCTTTTCGTCCATTACACCTAAAAGGACTACACAGAAAAATATCCGAAATCATTTCTACTGAAAGATTTGAAAAATGTGTGCCAAAAATATTAAAGGGCCTGTGTTAGGTGATTTTTTAATATGTTATAATGTTGTTTCCTCATCAAAAACAGACCTGGAGTTGGAGTTTTGTTTCATTCACACATGTTTAACACACAATTCCTGTATATTTAAGTGTTCTTCTCTTAAACAGAAAACACTGTTCCAGCTTGTGATGTCATGTGGTAATACAGGAAGCGCTCCACTTTGTTTTTAAACTCCATACACCTTTATTAGAATCATTTGGAACAGTGCCAATCTCTACTGAACTAAAGGTAAAAGGAGCTGTTAACTTGAAAACTACCACTTCATGACATCACAAGGTTAAACAGAGCTTTTGACCTTTGCAGTGGTGCAAACAAACACAAAGGCGCCAGTAAGAATTAGTAATATTTTATGTTTTTTACTCAAAATGATGCAGATGTTATTCACATTAACGCCGTTCAGAACCACCTACAGAACACAGGCTACAACACATGAACCAGGACTGAACCAGGACTAAACCAGGACTGAACCAGGACTAAATCAGGACAAAATCAGGACTAAACCAGGACTGAACCAGGACTGAACCAGGACTGAACCAGGACTAAACCAGGACTAAACCAGGACTAAGGACTGAACCAGGACTGAACCAGGACTGAACCAGGACTAAACCAGGACTAAACCAGGACTGAAGGACTAAATCAGGACTAAACCAGGACTAAACCAGGACTGAACCAGGACTGAACCAGGACTGAAACCAGGACTAAACCAGGACTAAAACCAGGACTAAATCAGGACTAAACCAGGACTGAACCAGGACTGAACCAGGACTAAACCAGGACTGAACCAGGACTGAACCAGGACTGAACCAGGACTGAACCAGGACTAAACCAGGACTAAACCAGGACTAAACCAGGACTGAACCAGGACTAAACCAGGACTAAACCAGGACTGAACCAGGACTGAACCAGGACTGAACCAGGACTAAACCAGGACTAAACCAGGACTGAACCAGGACTGAACCAGGACTGAACCAGGTCTAAACCAGGACTGAACCAGGACTGAACCAGGAGGACTAAACCAGGACTAAACCAGGACTGAACCAGGACTGACCCAGGACTGAACCAGGTCTAAACCAGGAATGAACCAGGACTGACCCAGGACTAAACCAGGACTAAACCAGGACTGAACCAGGACTGAACCAGGACTGAACCAGGTCTAAACCAGGACTGAACCAGGACTGACCCAGGACTAAATCAGGACTAAACCAGGACTGAACCAGGACTGAACCAGGACTGAACCAGGACTGAACCAGGTCTAAACCAGGACTGACCCAGGACTAAATCAGGACTAAACCAGGACTGAACCAGGACTGAACCAGGACTGAACCAGGACTAAACCAGGACTGAACCAGGTCTAAACCAGGACTAAACCAGGACTAAACTCGGACTGAATCAGGTCTAAACCAGGAGGACTAAACCAGGACTGAACCAGGTCTAAACCAGGTCTACACCAGGACTGAACCAGGACTAAACCAGGACAAAACTAGGACTGAACCAGGACTGAACCAGGACTAAACCAGGTTTAAACCAGGACTAAACCAGGACTGAACCAGGACTGAAACAGGTCTAAACCAGGACTGGACCAGGACTGAACCAGGACTAAACAAGGACTAAACTAGGACTAAACCAGGAGTAAACCAGGACAATCAGGAGGACTAAACCAGGACTAAACCAGGACTGAAACCGGTCTAAACCAGGACTAAACTAGGACTGAACCAGGACTAAACTAGGACTGAACCAGGACTAAACCAGGACTGAATCAGGAGGACTAAACCAGGAATAAATCCGAGCTCGTGGAACAGGGTGTCCGCAAAGCGCGATCAGGTGACGGCTGCGCTTAGCCCTGCGGGGCGTGGAGCTCTGCACCAGTCACCCAACGGTCTTCACAGGCACACCTCCAGTCCCGTCCCAACTCTCAGTCCTGGTTCAGTCCTGGTTTAGTCCTGGTTCAGTCCTGGTCCCTCATGTGGCAGGCCTCTCTATAGGACAGTCCTGCAGATATCATGAGCCTATGCAGATTGTTTTCATCTTTGCCAATAGCTCCAGTTTGACATTTAAAGGTTGTATGGAGGATTTTTTTTGTTTTTTTTTTGTTTCAAGTTGTCAATGATAGCATTATAGAGGTGCAGTCGCCTTGTAATTATGATGACCAAAAAAAAGAGAATAAAAATTCATCAACTCTGGACGTGGTGGGGCTAAACATTTGCCAATAGATAACGACACTGCCTCGTTATCTGTGAGCTGACAGGCTGTCAATCAAACTCCCTACGTTTCTAGTGTAACTGACTTGCCTGCGCGCCGCCGGTACGTGGTTTACGTACGCCTGTCACACAGTCCACAGACGCACAGACGCTGTTTACTCCACCAATGCAACAGTTCTTAGCGGCTTTTTGACCTATATCTTCCTCGCAGTTCGCACAAAGTTTGTTGCAATGGCGACAAGAATCCAGGAGCAGTTCGCCGCAAAAGAAAGTCCGTTTTTGAGGTCGCTGAAAGAAGAAGACAAGGGGGAAAAGCAGCGAAACCAAACTAAGGTGATTCTTGAAGATTCATTCCAGCAATGGCGCAACTGAAGCAGACGCAGGGTCTAAAGACTGACGCACTGGTCCACAAATTACTCCTGGACAGGAAACTTCTGCTTATTATGAAAACGTACTTTATTTCCAAGAGTTAGACAAACGTTTTTCAGGAAACGAAAGCGATATCCTATGTCTGAAAACGTAATTTTCAAGGCAAAGAAAGAGTCCGCTTGCTGCTGCGTGTTGTAGTAGTAGCTAGTTCATTCGCACGGAATCTCCGCGCCCCCCTCTGCCCGTTCTGCTCTTCTCCCTGCTCCTCACGGAATCTCTGCGCACCGCTCCCCTCTCCTCTCCTCTCCTCACTCCCTGCTCCACTCTTCTCCCTGCTCCTCACTTCTCGTCCGCGCACGAAATGTCCGCACACCCCCTCCCCCCGCTCCTCACTTCTCCGCCTTGCCTAACCAACACTGTAGTTAGTTGTTTACAAGTCATGTGCAGCGCACAGGTTTCTGGTGTAAGGAGGAGGCGGGAGGAGGCGTTTCTACGTAGGAGCTGTAGGGGAGGGGGGGTGGTTTCACGCATGCGCAACATTTGAAAAAGGACAAACAGTCGCTGGATTTCTCGTTCCTTGGAAAATCCTCTATACAACCTTTAAGTTGTAGCTGTTTTATATTTGTTATTTTTTTTATATCTCACGTCGGGAGAAGTGGGTGGATCACGCCCACTACACCCCTGGAGCTTTGAAGATATAGACAGACTAACAATAAAGTGTTACTCAGACGTGTGAATGAAACAAAACACAACTTTGGGTCTATTTTTGAAGCGGTAAAAACATTATAACATGACTTAAAGCTCACAAGAGTCAATTTTGCGTAATCTAGGACCACGCTAAAACATCTACCTGTTTTAACCCAGGAGGAGCGGAGCAGCTGGCTGGTGTTCAGTTCTGGATAATGAAAAGCTGTCGACACAGAGAAAACATATTTAAACATGTCTCTGAACGAAACAAAAGCTAAAAGAAAGTCCTTTTTTTGTGTTATAACTCACGTTCGGCGATCTGCAGCACAGGAAAGCCCATGTAGTAGCTGAACTCCACCATCGTGAGCTTCAGGAGAGCGTTGCTGACCTCAGAGCCCATCACGTGACCCCTCGTACCGCGCACTGTAAAAATAATGTCCACCGGCTGCCTCATGACCTGGCCCTGAGTTTTTGGAGTGGAGTTTGTGATGTTTACAATCTGAAACCAAAAAGAATTAACGGAGATTAGTACAAATGGATTATGTTGTAAATAGTCCCATAACATTGTTTTTCACTCTAATCTTTACTCTAATCCTATACAGGTTTTGCAATAACATCATTTTATTAGAAAATTGCTCAATATTCCAACAGAGTAGCACTGAGGCTGAACTATGGGCAGTTCAACAGACAAAAGGTGTTTCTTGGTTCTTTATTGCCTAATTTTAGTCCTGTGGAGTTGTTGTTTTTGCCTCAGAATAATTATTTTCTCAACACACAGACTGATGAATGATTCGTTTTTTTCAGTTTTGGATTTTGTGTTTAAATGAATAATGGAAAAAACAGAGAACTTCTGTTTCCCGTTTACGTGACTTAAACTGTGATGCCGGACTGAACCAGGACTGAACCAGGACTGAACCAGGACTGAACCAGGACTGAACCAGGACTGAACCAGGACTAAAACAAAACTAGAACAGGACTAAAACAGGACTGAGTGTCGGAACAGGCCCACAGGTGCGCCCGCGTCGACTGTCAGGTGATCAGGACTGAGACCAGGACTAAGGCCGAGAATGAGACCAGGACTGAGACCGGGACCAGACCGGGACCTAACCAGGACTGAATCAGGACCGAACTAGGACTGATCCAAGGACTAAACCAGGTCTAAACTTAACTGAACCAGGACTAAAGAAGGACTGAACCAGGACTAAACCAGGACTGAACCAGGAGGACTAAACCAGGACTAAACCAGGACTGAAACAGGTCTAAACCAGGACTGAACCAGGACTGAACCTGGACTAAACCAGGACTAAACCAGGATTGAACCAGGACTGAACCAGGACTGAACTAGGACTGAACCAGGATTAAACCAGGGCTGAATCAGGACTAAACCAGGAATAAACTAGGACTGAACCAGGACTAAACCAGGACTGAACCAGGACTGAACCAGGACTGAACCAGGACTGAACCAGGACTAAACTGGACTTGAGAGTGGGAGAGAGAACTCCGAGCTCGTGGAACAGGGTGTCCACAAAGTGCGATCGGGTGACGGCTGCGCTTAGCCCTGTGGGGCGTGGAGCTCTGCACCAGTCACCCAACGGTCTTCACAGGCACACCTCCAGTCCCGTCCCAACTCTCAGTCCTGGTTCAGTCCTGGTTTACTTCTGGTTTAGACCTGGTTCAGTCCTGGTTCAGTCCTGGTCCCTCATGTGGCAGGTCACTAAAGGACAGTCCTGCAGATATCATGAGTCTATGCAGGTTGTTGGACTAAACCAGGACTAAACCAGGACTAAACCAAAACTAAACCAGGACTAAACTGGTAAGGCTACTGGTCTCAGGTCCTGGTCTGATCTCTGTCTGGGCCCGGTCTGGTCCCAGTCTGGTCCTGGTCTCAGTCCTGATCACATGACAGTCTACGCGGGCACACCTCTGGACCCGTCACAGCACTCAGTCCTGTTTTAATCCTGTTTTAGTCCTGGTTTAGACCGTTTGTGGTGCAAAAGTCCGGCATCGCAGTTTAAGTCACGTAATTGGGAAACAGTCGTTACCCATTTTTTCCATTATTCATTTAAACACAAAATTGAAAACTAAAACCAATCGTTATCTGTTTTTTTCATTTTGGTTTTGGAGACAAATAATGAAGAAAATAGTTGCTTTTTTCGTTAAAATTAATGAACGAATGACACACGGATTGCCTCCAGTTGGCATCACACCCCTTGGGAATATTTATAACAGTAGCTTCACAGTATCAACACCTCCACAGACTTTAGTTTCACTCACATGCACAGTAAAGTTGGTCGACATCTTTGACCTCCGTCGGATCTCCCCAAAGGCCCTGGTCAGACCTCGCTCGATGTTCTCCGTGAAGTTACAGAACCTTATGTCGATGTGACTGGGAACGAACTGCAGCACTGCACGAGTCGGAGGCAAGATTAGGTTCGGATGACAAGTTTCAAACGCTGAAAGACAGTTTTAATAAAAGTGTCCTTCATGTACCTGTGTGGACTTGATATTTATAGTCGGGTAAGGCCCAGCTGGGGGTTACTGACAGAAAGGGCCGTCCAGACCTCAGCAGAGCGTTGATGACAGAGATGGCGGTGTACACAACCGGACCAGACACGACGCGGAACACAAACTTTGGAGGCACGGAGACAACCTTGAGAAATGAAAGATGTGTTTTAAGACAAGACGATCAATAGCGTTAAAGTTGGACTATGTAACTTTTCTAGTGCAGTCGGTAACTTGATCATCTCTGTAAAGATGTTATTGCTTTGCCAGGGAAGTTTCACGGTCTGGCGTTAAACTTTTCCAACCTGAATTTCTTTAATTTCAGTGTAAATAATAATACATGCTTTGAAGGGAAAAAAAAAATTACAGTGTGTTTTTGTCTTTTTTTTTTTTACTTGGGCTCATTTCCCCACTAACTAGGCCGATGCCACGTACAGTTGTGCCTCTGCTCAATTTCATTTCTCTCCAGCGACTAGGTCAGGAATGGGAATACACTAGACCACGGATGTCAAACTCATTTTGGTCCGGGGGCCGTATCCAGCCTATTTTGATCCCAAAGGGGCCGGATCAGAAAACCTATGACATATATACCCCAAAAATAACAATAAGTTCAAATATTTGTGCAGAGAAATGTAAATCTATTACATAAATCTTTTTTAATTGATGAACTCTTTGTGTTACAAAATATTATAATATTATGAACAACCTGAAACTTTAAGAAAAATGCAATTTCAACACAGTATTTTAACATTAACTTGTATGCAAATAGGAATAAGTTCATTTTTCTTGTAAAATCCTGCACTCGGCTCCACTTTTCTCATTTTTGACATTTTGCTGATGTCAACAGTCAAAACGATCGTCCTTTAAGAACGTTTGGAAAGAGACAAGTCTTCATTTGTGCTGCTCTGGAGGGAGGGGCCACGTACAGAGACGCTGGAGACGCTGCTATGCTCAGCACCGCAGAAAATTACCAAGATTTTAATAGAAAATATAATTAAAATATTTTAGTAGAAACTCAGCCGAGGGCCAGATTAAAGGTCTTGGAGGGCCGGATCCCCAGAGTTGGAGACGGCGCACCGGCCAATCACTGAAGAGCTGTGAAGCCATGACGCCAAACTCAAGCACCTGTCTGGGTCCCTTTTGTGGAACAGCACAACAGTAAACAAAGCGTCGCGATGGATGTAGACGAAGACAGACATTCTGTATTGGTAACGATTCCCGAGATCGAGGATTTAAAGTCGGAACAAAGAGAAAGTTTGGTGAATTTTATCAAGGGGAAAGACGTTATTGCCCTTCTTCCTACAGGATTTGGAGCATTACATACATCATGACCAAATAGCAGCGATTGGTTAAATAAAAAAAAGTACCCCCCTACTGTAGAGCGAACGAATCCTAATGCTGCGAGGTCAGACGGTTTCCACAAAGTGAAACCCTCTGATGAATCAGGCTATCTCCCCACAGCTCTAACCCGTCTAACTTCACCAATCAAATGTTAGGACAAACCGGACATACTTTTTCATGAATGTTTTTTCTTTATTTATACAATTATTTACACTGTAGATTCACAGTAAAGGGATCAAAACTATGAATGACACATCTCAAAATAACTCAAAAACTCTTTTAGATTTTAGACTTTTTTTTAAATAGCCACCCTTTTTGCTTTGACCATTGCTTTGCACTTTTGGCACTGCTTGACCCTGACAAGGTGAAGACTTCATCAAGAAGCTCATTAAGAGAAGGTCAAGGGTTTGCGTCACTGTTAACAAAGCAAGTGATCTGAATATAAGATATAAAAACAATATTAGTTCAGGTATTTACATTTTTTTTCTCTTTGCTGCATAATTCCATATATCTTGCATTAAATATTTTGTGTCTTCTGTGTCTTGTGTTTATAAATGTACAAAGTACTAAACATAAAGTAAAAATACACAGAAAATGATGTGTCCAAACTTTTGACTGGCAGTATATTTTATAGTCTTCATGTGACCGGTCGTGTAGCTCGTTGTTGACAGAAGCATAAGATACGAAATCAGAGGGAGTGACTTTAACATCAGGGTTCATCTGACTTTGAAGTATACAGACACAAGTACATCACAGACTGTTTATGCAATTAGAAAGATAAAAGTCGGGCCAGGCAGATAGTGGGAGTAGCCTTATCTTTCTTGGTGAGAATCTTGAGGCAGTGAACACGAAAGAAAGCAAAAAAAATCTGTCTGAATAACCAAAACTATTGTGTGACTTAAAAAAACGTTCCATGGTACGACATTAAACGAATCCATCTAGCATTTATTCATTACGCATGTTTATATTGCTCAAAAACACAGTAATTCCTCGTGGGAATGAGGCGACTCTCCACAGATCTGAACTGTAATGTAGCGTAGTGCTGTAATCTGCTTGTCTCCCTTGTAATAGATGATTTTAATCTTTCTAAACATTTCCATGGAGGCGAAGAGGTGGCGGATGCTCCACTCGAAATTTTACTCAGTGCACCTTCAATGTAACGCAGCCACTTTAAAATGTCTTTTTACAAAACTGGGTCAATGGTGAATGCAAGATTAACTCTACAAAGAGTTCAGGATTGGGTATTGTGTATTACTCAAACAGTTTCAATGGGTAAGTACTTTGTTATTAGGTTCCCTAAAATTCCAACAATTTAGACATTGTTGGTTAGCCTGATTCATCAGCCAGTTTCACTTTGTGGAAATGGTCTGACCTCGCAGCATTAGGATTCATTCGTTTAACGGTAGGAGAGTACTTTTTAAAATTTAACCAATCGCTGCTATTTGGTCGTGAAGTACGTAATGCGCCAAATCCCGGAAGGAAGAAGGGCAATAATGTGATAAAATTCACCAAACAAAAAAAAAAATCTAAAATCTAAAAGAGGATTTGAGTTATTTTGAGATGTGTCATTCATAGTTTTGATCCCTTCACTGTGAATCTATAGTGTAAATAATCGTATAAATAAAGAAGAAACATTCATGAAAACTGTGTCTAGTTTGTCCAAACCTTTGACTGGTGAAGTTAGACGGGTTAGGGCTGTGGGGAGATAGCCTGATTCATAAGCTGGTGTCACTTTGTGGAAACCGTCTGACCTCGCAGCATTAGGATTCGTTCGCAAGACAGTAGGCGGGTACTTTTTTATTTAACCAATCGCTGCTATTTGGTCATGACGTATGTAATGCTCCAAATGACGTAGGAAGAAGGGCAATAACGTCTTTCCCCTTGATAAAATTCACCAAACATTCTCTTTGTTCCAGCTTTAAATCCTCGATCTCGGGAATCGTTGCCAACACAGAATGTCTGTCTTCGTCTACATCCATCTCGACGCTTTGTTTACTGTTGTGCTGTTCCACAAAAGGGACCCAGACAGGTGCTTGAGTTTGGCGTCATGGCTTCACAGCTCTTCAGTGATTGGCCGGTGCGCCGTCTACAACTTCCGGGGTTTTTGTAAACCGTCTAATGTATTCCGATTCCTGAACTAATCACTGGAGAGAAATTAAATTGAGTGCCTGGCTAAAGCTGGGTAGTATTATGTGTTCAATAACAGTTAGTACTATTGACAGAAATTTAAGGTTATAGTTATATATCTATAATTTAATGATGTTTTTTATTATAGTCTTACTTGCATTTGACAAGTACACTGTCCAGCCCACCCCTCATAACTTACCTGTATATCTTTTTCCCCTAATTTAAGCGACACCAAGTGAACCAATACATATTAACATTGGAAATCATGCACTTCAGATACTTCATGTTGTAGTGAAGGAAAAGAAAAGCAATCAGTGGCCGATGTGTTTGTGTTTACGTCTGTATGGATGTGTGTGTTAGCTGCCAAGGCGTTCAATAAGAGGAAGAAAGAGAAAACACTTGCCTGTATTTCGACTGATTTGTTAAACTCAGCTTTCAGAATGTCTCGGACTTGAGACTTGGCATATCCAATAGTTGCTCCAAAAGGAAAACCTAAAATACAAATTTTGATTTAATTAAAGCTCCTATATTACACATGATGGTTTCTTGTGAGCTGTAAGTCATGTTATAATGTTGTTACCTCCTCAAAAACAGACCAGGAGATGTGTTTTGTTTCATTCACATGTTTGAGTATTCCTTTATTATTAGTCTGTCTACATCTCCAAAGGTCAAAATGCTCTGTTCCACCTTTATCTTTTGTTTAGTAGAGATTGGAAATTCAAGATTCAAGGGCTGAAATTATCCAAATCTTTCTATGAATAACAGTAAGTGTACAGAGTTGAAAACCACAGTGGAACACAACATGTATTACCACATGACATCACACTATATGCAGGATTTGTGAGTTAAACGTGTGAATAAAATGAAACAAAACACAACTCCAGGTCTGTTTGTGATGAGGAAACAACATTATAATAATCAGGGTTCCCACTTTTTTTCACTGACAAAATTTCAAAACTTTTCCATGACTTTTTCATGACCTAAATTGAATTTTCGACTTCACAGCACCTGCATGTGTAGAACTGATCAGACTTTTAGGGCTAAATATGAAATGTTAACCCTTTCCACTCACTTTATGGTTTGGTATTATAGTTTTTTAAAGTTCGAGAAAAATCCTGCACACCGTCTTACTTGCAAAATGTGAGATTTATTAGGACAAACTGTGTAACGTTTCAGCACTGGGGCTTTATCATTCTGTTACCGAAACTTTGCACGGTTTATCCTAATAAATCTCACATTTTGTAAGACAGTATGTGGGATTTTTCGCTATGTTTTTAAGCTCCCTCTCTTCCAACGCACCCCTTTCAAGTAACTGAAGTGCGAAATTCTCATTCTTTTATAGCGTTTTTTAACATTCAATATACTGTCACTGCATTTATTGTCGTCTCTTTTAAACAGAAGGCGCATACGTTTAGAAATAATCGTAATAGTCTCACGATAACTTAACAGAACGCTGGAGTAGATATACTAAAATTCCATGACTTTTACAGAATTTTCATGACCGTGGGGACCCTGAATACAGATCAGAAAATGGTGTAATATAAGCCCTTTTTCACTTACTTATTTTGACTAAATACTCTGGTTTGTCGATGTCACAGAGATACTGTTTGGCTGGCTCAGTTGTGGGCAGAGGTTGAACAGGGGGAGTTACAGAGACATCGTTGGACATTTGAGTCGCTGTGGTAATTTTCGGGGGGTCTTGACGTGGAGTAGTGTTGACAGCTGCTGGTTCAGTAGTCGTAGACCTTGTATCTGCCTCGGTGCTTTCGGGTAAGAAGGTAATCGTAGCCGGGATGTCTCTTCCATCTTCGGTCGTCCCTTCATCCTTCACTGGCGTTTCTGTGGTGGCCGTTTCTACAGTCGCAAATGAAACCGGAATAGTGGAATTTTCTATGGTCGTGGTGTCAGAAATTTCCGTCGGAAGAGTGGAGGACGCTACGGTTGGGGTCAAAACTGGAGTTGAGTGCACGGGCGTTTCCGGATAGGGCTCTGTCACAAACCAGTGCACATCTGTGAAAGAAGAGTACGCTATGACTTCATCGGTGACTGACGAGGTTGCATTAGCCAACAAGCTGCTTTCCATTTGTTGATTTGTCGGCGTTAAGATTTCACTAGCCCACGTTGAGGAAAAATTAACCGTTTTCGAAGGTTCAAGAGTATTTTCGGAAACATTTACAGGTGGAATTGTAGTCTCAAAATAAGGCTCTGCTCCTGACGAATCGCTCGACGCTTCCTCTTTCGTCAGATTATCAAAGCTCATCGTTGGCGTAATTTCCGAGACGGCTACTACGGTTACATTCCCTCGTTGCTCTGCTCCGCTGTTGGAATTCTCTTGCTGAGTTGAGTAATATTCCAAGCTGTTCATATCAGGGAGGAGGACATCCGTCGGGTCAATTGTAAAATGATCTGACCAGTCCAAGCTCGCGGACTCTGCTATGTCTGCGTGTGGGGTTATGGATGGCGTAGGTTTGATTGTAAACTGAGACGAGACGAAATGCGCTGTCGCAAGGGTTGGCGAAGTCAAAAAATGCTGCAGCGATGTTAAAGAAACCCCCACTCTTGTCGGAAAAGAAGTGTCGTAGATTTCCGTATCCTCGTCCATATCGAACATTTCCGTTGGCACCTTCGTAACCAAAGAGTAGTCCTCTCCGTCAGCTCCCAAATACGATATCGTCTCAAGGTAATCTCCAGATCCCCAGTCTATGTCCATTGTATCCGTGGGGAAAATATCATCCGGTGGAGTTTCGGTTGCTTCATACAGAGGTGAAGTGAGGTGAGGGCTAAGACTTGGAGCTAAAAAATGCGGTGTATAGGAAGGTGCAATGCTTGGTCTTAAGTGGGAATTACTGGAACCTCCAACGTTAGGGTAAGGTAAGGCCTGGTCCGCCTGGTAGTCGCTAAGACCCACTTTAGAGGGCTCCAGGGAGTTATCAGGAAATGAGCTCACGGTTGCTACATTCTGCTTGGATGGCTCACGTTGTGGAGTGGAGTTTGAAGACTGAGATGTTAAAGGATGGTATATTGGTCGATGAGTCATTTCCAGTTGCGGATTAGACGTTATCTTAAGTTTTGTGGGGGTTGGATCTGGAGTAAGGGGTGTGGTTCCTTCTGTATGTGCCATTTCTTTAGTCCTCGGGTTATGGGTTGGAAGTGGACTTGAAGACGTCCTTTGTGTGCCCCCAGATGTGCTGAAATGTGAAGATGGTGACGCAGACAGCAATGGCCCTGTTGTTTCATTTTTTATGAAGCTTGCTGTAGGATCCAAGGGAGGCGCATCTGAAAAAACAGAAGAAACTGTGTTAGTAGTTGGCACTTAAATAGAATTCATTGTGTGTTGATGGTTAGAGCATGATACTGGCTGAGAATTCCCTTAATTACAAAAAATGTCTGTGTGTTTTTCATTGTATTAATCTATTTTGCTATTCAGCCATCATCAATAATAAAAATAAAAATAAAAATGGAAATGTTGCCTGGGATATATGGCATTAAACTGCTAAAATACCTTGAAAACATTCTTTCCGTGAGTGGGATTGCCTCTCCACAGATTTGACAATCGTACGAAGTTCTGCTTTTCTCCATGGAAACAAGTCTCGGCCTGTCACGGTAATTACTATTTCCAATTAAACTGCTTATTAATTCATGTATTATAATTTGTCTAACTTAAAAAAAAAGAAAGAAAGATGTCAGTGTAGTGTTTCGTTATGTTCGGCAGATCAAGTCCCCGTCCACACTAGTTCGTATTTGAATCGTTTTTGTTGTGGATGCAGTGTTCGTCCACACTATTTCGATGAAAAACGGCACCAGAGATGGAATAATCTGGTGCTGCCTGCTCCCACGAATTCATCTGAGTATGGATCTAATTCAGCACTATGTGGACGCCTGAAAACGCTGATATGCTGACGTAGGAGCTCTAGTTGCGTCCTTATTGGACCACGTCACTGTGATTTGCACCTTCCTGATTCCCTGGGTTCGTGACATCGGTCATGTGACGCTATTGTGGAAAATAGTTTAAACAAACCACAGACAAATGGGAAACAGCGGAGCTAGAACTACTTGCACGGAACAGACTCACTATTAGCAGAACGCCCCTCTGTCACAGAAAGAACACTCATATTCCACTGAGATGTGTCCATTTTAAGTCCGACAGAAGCTGAACCGCATCAGGGCACAAGGAGCGAGCTGTTTTTTTTGAGTGCTTAGTTTATGCAAATGAGCCATGTGGTTTTAAGTTTCATTGTTATAAAAAGTAAACAAATATGCTCAAAGCTGTGTGGATAGGGAAAGCTTGCGGACACAGAAACGACGTATCTGGACACAAATCGTTTCTGATACGGTGATTCGTTTCAGTGTAAACGTGACTCAAAAGTTACAACCAGCTGCCTGTAAGTGACATCAATTAGAGTCCCGTCCCCCATGGAAAGCTTAGGCAGGTTGTATCTAGGGCTGGGTATCATTAAGAAGTTGCCGATACGATACATATCTCGATACATAGGCAATACATACAATACGCAGGCCGCAATACGATACATATCTCGATACAGTGAGCTTTTGATTCGATACGATATATTTCAAATCCAATCAATATGGTTTAATAAAAAATAAAGGCTAAATCATGGCTGTGACACTAAAAGTCTTTGTTAAACCACTTCTTGTGCAAAGTTCATCTGAAACAAATATTTTAAATCATCAAAACAGTGAAAATGTCAAATGTGCCGCACATACGAGTTTCCTTTCTCTAAACAAGCAACAAAACTGTGGCACTGTAACAAAATTATTTAGTTAAATATAGAAAAAAAAAAATACTCTTTGCTATATATCGATACAGCAGCCCACAATATCAATACTGTATCATCATATTAAACGATACGATATGTCGATATTTCAATATTTTTGCACACCCCTAGTTGCGTCCCATGCCCAGTGTCGGGAACTACACCGTAAGTCATCATGGAGACAAGAAGGCAGCAGTCAATCCACCAAAAATGTTACATGGTGCATCTTTAACAGTGGATGGCTATTGGATTTTTTCTTTCTAATGCCGTTTTTTTATGTTGAAAAAAAAAAACACGCTGTCCCAAATTAGTATTGATCCATGAAGAAATAAACACTAAACATATTGACAAAGTCCAAAGACATTAGCAGGATATAAGATTACCACGGAAACTCTGACTGTTAAACCGGACAGGAATAGTGCAGTGCTTATAGTATTAAATATAGACCTGACAACACACAGACAATCAATGTTGGAAGAGAGACTATTGATGTGAATGAGTCCATAGTGCTTGTACAGAGGCATGTGTTCTTACGTTGTCGGTGACCCCTCAGAAAAATCATTACATCAATCCTCTACTCCAGCGTCTCATTTACTAAAGTGGCCATAGGAATGAATATTGATCATAAGCAAACGCCAATAAAAGGAAGAGGCAAAGACAGGACGCACTAAATGAAGATTAAAAAAAAAAAAAAATTGTTTAGCTCAAATCTCAGTGATTTGATCAGCTGTTTCAATGTCACTCTCTGCTATGTCATGCCTTACATTCAATTACAGGTGGTTTTACAGCTCAAAAATACCTAGAAAAGCTGGCATTCTGACTGTGAGCGGGATCGCCTTTCCACAGATTCTTTCAGAAATATTCATGGGCATAGGATAGAAATCTGTGCATATTTGTCTGTAGTTGAGCATAAAATAAATATTCGTAAACTCTCGAATGAGTCCAGTCGTACATAAAATGTGTTGTGTGTATTTTATCCCGGGCCCGGAGTTTAAGAATATTTACAAATCTTTATTTTATGAAAAGGGCACAAAACAGAACTAAACTAAACTACACACACGAAACCAAAATGTTAGAATGGCCTCCAAGGCCAGCAGCCCCGAACAGGTGCTGGTAATCTCCTTAAATAGGGGGAGGTGGCTGCAGGTGAGGTGGGCGCTGACATCCTCCACCAATCACAAACCAGGGCTCCTGCAGCAGGAATCAAGGTGTGTCAGCAGAATAATTTATAACACACAAAACAAATTACAATCTAAGGCCTGGGGCCTTAACACTCAGCTAAAGCCAAGTATGCACAGATTTCTATCCTACGTACACAAATATTTCTGAAAGCTTTCTTACTCCATACCTGTGACTTGGTCTGGTTTGGTCTCCATGAAGATAGAAAAGTTTAATATCGCACAGAGCAATGACATCTCCATGAAGAAAATAATTTGACAGACCCTCAAACCAGAAAAGTTACACAATGCACCTTTAAAGTCTAACACAGCCTCAGACAGAGCAGAGCCTACAGTTAGCGTCACACCCCCAGGTAACGTTGACGACATCAGCTGCAAAGTATCAGTTGGTTTTGTAGTAGTAAGAAGTTTGTCTCATTGTTATGGCGGTAACAGATACGGTGATTTTCAGCTCATCTTGAAAAGCTTTCAGATCCTCAGGGTGGACATTAGAACAGACAAACACAAAAATGTCTGCTGCTTCTTATGTAATACAGCTATGACCTAAAGCTAAAACGCATTTCTCAGTATTTGTATTACAGTGTGGTGTAACTTGGCCTATTCATTTGAAACTAAGCTCTAGGACACACAAAGTAGGACTGCAATATTTGATGACTAAGACAAACTCTAAGACTGGGCTGGGAATCACATGGTCCCTCACGATTTGATACGATGCTTGATACACGGTTCACGATACAATATTATTATCATGATATATCAAAAAATGTGATAATCAATATTTTACACATGATAATGTCATTGTTAGGGCTGGGTATCATTAAGAAGTTGCCGAAACGATACATACACAGGCCACGATATGATACATGTCTCAATACAGTGCACTTTCAATTCGATATGACATATTTCAAATTGATTTGACATGGTTCAATAAAAATGTAAGGCTAAATCATGGCTGTGATACTAAAAGTCTTTGTTAAACCACTTTTTGCACAAAGTTAATATGAAATACAAACATTTTAATCATAAAAACTGTGAAAATGTCAAATGTCTCGCAAAAACGAGCAACAAAACTGTATCTCTGTAACAAAATAATTTAGTAAAATATACCAAAAAATACTCTTGGCGATATATCAATACAGCAGCCCATGATATCGATAATGTATCATCACATTAAGCGATACGATATATCAATATTTTGATATTTTTGCACACCCCTAGTCACTGTCATGTCATTTTAACAATAATGTTTCTTTGTGAAATCACTATTTTTCTAATTTTAAATAATCAAGACAGTGTACTGCATAAACAAGTTTCCTTCCACTAAATAATAAAACAAAAATAAGCAACAACAACAAAAAAGGTAAAACAACCAAAAAATACTGTTGGCGATATGCTATAACGATACTGTATCACCACATTTAGTATCATAACATCACAATATTTTAATACTTTTGCCCAACCCCTATAAGACACACTGTGGATATTGCCAAAATACTCTTCATATGTTATATAATATTCTGGTTAAGGCTGAGCGATTTGGAAATAATATTAAATAGTGATTTTTCTGAGAAGTGCTGTGATTGAGATTGGATCTGAGATTTATGTTTTAATAATAGGATTCTGTTCAAAGTTCACATTTTAAACGCTTCCAGACGAACTGACAAAAAGACTGAAATATGAACTGACAAACTAGTACGAGAATCACATCACAAAGGATTTAAGCAGAATAAGACCGGAGATTTTGTTGTCTGTGGAAGAAAATATGGTACTTCAAAAAATCGCAGCCTTTTGTGATTTGTTAATTACGTTCAAATTTCAAATTAATTGCAATTCATCTTGTCAAACTACCTATTAATCAAGACTAAAGCAACACAGAAAGCACAAAACAAGACAAAACAAGATAAAAATGCAGATTAAAAAAGTCAGTAATTAAAGTCAAAACACATATGCCTTTTAAAATGCTTTTGCTATTTGTTAATATTGCAATAATGATAATTTTGGAGTGTATTATGCAGTGACAGTGGCATAAATGCAATCTTTTATTTGTATTTTTAACCTATTTTTTTATTTTCAATCAACAAACAATAAAACTCTGAATACAGATATGGAAGTCAAGTCTAATACTGCAAACAATAACACAATAAAACACAGGACATGGATATTTAAGTCAAATAAGTCTGTGCAATTGATCAAATTTTTATCACAATTTCAATTTTGTGTGTGAAACGATCTCCAAACTCATATAATTGAGTTGAAAGATTAACAAAGATTATTTTGGGATATTTTTTTATATAAATAAGTATATTTATTTAATTTTTTAGATATA